AACAGTATATTTGGGATTAATTTAGTTTGATATATAATAGAAAATGCGTCAATTTCTAAATTGTCCGCCTCTCGAAAAGTTGTAAATGCAGTAAACAGTTTGGCTTTAACGATTGGGCAACTATTAGATATCCAAAAGATAACGACTTTTCCAATTTGGGACAAGGACGTAGACATGATAATACATTATATATATATATATATCATTTTTGTTGTTGTTTGGGGGGGGGGGGGGGGGGGGGTTCAACTCTCGTTTAAATGTGATTTATAAAATTGTTAAAGGTGCATGAAAGAAGGAGCACTAATAGTAAGTAAATCTATACCACAGAGTCCTTTTAAGAATATTACGCACAAAAAATATTCTAATGGATAAAATTTCAATACTTTTAAACATCGATCAAGACTTCAAAATACACTACTGACACTGTATATATAAAAATAAGACGATGTGGTATGATTGCAAATGAGACAATTATCCACAAGACACCAAATGACACCGACATAAACAACTATAGGTCATCGTACGGGTTCAACTCTCGTTTAAATGTGATTTATAAAATTGTTAAAGGTGCATGAAAGAAGGAGCACTAATAGTAAGTAAATCTATACCACAGAGTCCTTTTAAGAATATTACGCACAAAAAATATTCTAATGGATAAAATTTCAATACTTTTAAACATCGATCAAGACTTCAAAATACACTACTGACACTGTATATATAAAAATAAGACGATGTGGTATGATTGCAAATGAGACAATTATCCACAGACACCAAATGACACCGACATAAACAACTATAGGTCATCGTACGGCCTTCAACAATGAGTAAAACCCATACCGCACCATCGGCTATAAAAGTCTTCGAAAAGACAAATGTAAAACAATTCAAACGAGAAAAACTAACGGCCTGATTTATGTACAAAATAATGAACAAAAAACAATTTGGTAACGTTTTAGAATAGTTTATGTAATGATCGATAAGTTTAGCCGGATCGTATCTAAATTTCTGGGTTCGGTAAACAACATCTCCGTAAAAATTAGGATATCGATGCGCTATTCCTTGAAAAATTAGTTATCTACAGGTACAACCAAACTTCCACACCAAATCTGTATACCTTAGTAATTAGTAAATTTTTAAATTTATTTGTGGTTACGAAATTTCTGATTAATGGTTCATCAGTCATACATAGGTTACGTTCATTGAAGTCCAAAACGTCACAACAGACACGGGATAGTGAACGCGTTGTGAAAAATAAACACCGTAAGATGGCGCCAAAGGAATATCACCGTCCATAAAGGGAAAATTAAGAATAGGGAATGAAAAATCGTCTAAATTTTTAGTGTAGAGATTCCCGTGTAAAACTGAAATATCTAATTCTAGGGTAGGATAGTTATTACCGTTGATGTTTGCTTTATATAAAGTTAATATGTAGTTCCTATTTGGTAAATTTCGGCAGTATATTTAAAAGAAAATCATGATTATTTAACGAAGAAATATCGTTAAGATAACGATAAGTGTTGTTGAATTTATCAATTAAGTTCAATTTAGACGGGTCTCTACTGACTTTTGCCATAAACAGTAATTCGTAACAGTACAAGTCTGCTATTCTCATAGGAATATCTACACCTTGTCGATAAACCTTATTACCGAAACGTACATATATATATCATCAAGGAGTAAATTAACAGCCTCAAGCATCTCATCACACCTCCAGTATGTAGATCTAGCATATTAACCTTTTTCATTAAGCATGTTAAAGCAGAGGGTTTTAAATGAGTTACTGCAAATATATTTCAATTCCGAATAACCAAACGACCATTTAAAGATTGTGTGGAAGTGTAGTGTAAAGAGTTGAAAAGTAAAAACTGTCAACAGAATCAATGGGACCATCAAAAGCAAGTAATTTATCTTAAACATCCAAAGAATTTTTTACACTCCAAAATTAGTTTATTCAAATATTTTCATATGTTTTATTACGAAAGTTAATGATAAGTTATTTGATAGTAGTTAAGGACCTAGTTAAAACACTGAAAGACTAGTTGTAGAACACATACTTGAGGCCAAGATGAAACGACCTTTTACTGGTTTTTTGCATAATTTTCAGAAGAGACCTGAAGCTGTGATGTGGTTATGATATGATTGTTAACTACATGACTCTCTGTGAAGCGCACGGACTTGAATGTTGAAGAACTTAAAATTTCATTCTTACTAACGTCCGTGTAGTATTTACGGCATACCAAAACCACATGTTGGCTGCTTTGTCGGCCGATACAAACAAGAACCGCTTTGTGAGTACTCGAAGTGTGTTTCTTGTTCTAAAAAAGGCGTATTTTGTACTCTTTAAACTATTTCTAAATTATTTTCAAAATGTGATATTGGAATATCCACAACATTCATAATTTTATTCAAATAAGAATCATGAGATTTGTTATAGGATTTTTTTTCCGTTTACACTATATTTTATAATACGATGAAAGAGCGTCTTTTGTGACCCAACGACACTGTTTCCAATCTATTTTACAGTTTATTAAAGAGACGCCATAAAAAGTTTGAGAAAAGCAATGCCAAAATACACAATAGGTATTTGATCATATTCAATCTTAGCAATACTAAGCACCGCCATGTTTGTATAAAAGTAACATAAATTACGGACAACCGCTGTTCGTAGTGAAAATGTAAGTAAACAGATCCAGTAGGATGTATCATCATATATAATTATAACTGTACATACGTAGCAATGTATTTAGCGATGTTTTAATTAAGAATCAATAAAAACATTTAAAGATTTCACTAAGGTGTTGATAACCTTTAGGAATAAGTTTATTCAAAGGATCAATGAGCTCAAATGGATCGTATCTAAAATTAAAATTACACAAACAACATCATGGTATAAATTATGTTCAATTTTATATTGTTAGAAACGAAATTCCTGAATTATTATTATTATTAAGGAACCGAGGAAATATCATCGTCGAAATAGGGAGAATTAAACAATCAGGAAGGAAAACATCGTCGTTTTTGTAAAAAAAAATAATGTGTAAAGTTTCCGTGAGAAACTGAAATATCCAAATCTAGAAAAGGCTAAATACTGCTGTCAGATTTGTTAAAAGTAGATTCTTTTTGATAAATTTCCACAGAAAAAAAATTCTTGATAATAGAAATTAAAAAAAAATCATTAACTTAACTCACGTAAATGTTTTTAAATTTATCAATTAAATCCTATTTGCATACATCTTTATTTATCGAATTTGGCCATAACGTGTGCTCCCTATTAAGATAGGTACAAGTCTTCTTATAAAGAAGCGCAACTGGTACCCACATGAATGCTAACAATCTGTCGACTTACTTTATTGCCGAAACGTACGTTTATGAAGTCAAGGAGAATATTTTTAACTTAATCATATCATCATACATGCCATAGCTCCAGTAAGTATATCCAGCATATATCTCTTTTGTGAAGGTTTTCTTTTTGTGCACTTTACATTAAAATCAATGGATTGAAATCGTTTACGTCTGTTTTCAGTCACACAGTGGTTTTAAAAATCAATTTCTAGAATAATTGAAGAATATATCAACCTCGAATTTACATTGGTTGATATTATAATGAAACAGATAAGTTTCTGGTTTCTGATTATAAGTATCTTCCACTAATCTCAAGACTTTAAGATTGTGATACTATTTTTAGAAGACGGCTGATAACTATCGATTTCGATCTACTCAATTTCACGTCAAGCGTTCACTGCAATAGGTAGCTTACTTTACAACGATTTGAAACATATATTGTAAATAATTTAATTTAATAAAAAAAAAATCGGTTTACACGAAGATAGTGTAATATGAAAGTGAACCTTAAACTGAAAAAAAAACATGTTGCTAATGGGTAACTTTCTATAAAAAATATAGGAGTTTTCATTATGACTCAAAATGTATGGGATATAAAAACAAATAGGAATTGTTCGATGAAATAACTATAAAAACACATAAGTATTTTCAATGTGCACACCTTGTAAAACCTTTCATCATTATGCAACATTAAGGGCTTTTTCTTTTCCAGTTTGAAGTTACACTTATTATATCGTTCCTTTACATCTAACAAGGGCAATGACACCTTTGATATGGCAGCGGATTGCTTTAGACCGAAATAGGCAAATTTTTAACTTATTACCAACCTTTGTCAAAAGTAAAATAGCAAAAATATCGAACTCCAAAAAAAATTCAAAACGAAAAATCTATTATCAAATGGCAAAATTAAAAACTCAAACACATCAAAGGAATGAAAAACAACTGTAATATTCTTGGAACAGACATTTCCTTATGTTTCAAAGGGTGTATTAAATCTGGTTTTATAGCTAGCTTAACCTCTCATTTGTATGGTAGTCGCATAGAATTCCATTATATTGACAACAATGTGTGAGCAAAACAAACATACACAATAGATAAAATTGTCAAAAATTGTGATACCGCAGTCAACATTGTGTAATAATCTTAATCACTTGAAAACAAATAACTATTTCAACAACAATAAAATTTAAAAAAATGGCAAATAGACACTCGATAGACAAAATAATTAAGCAAAAATGAAAGATAAGAACGTAAAAATTACCATAGCACAATCACACAATGGCGGAATGTAAACTTATAGAACCACGTCAAAACTGTATTACCAAAAATGACTAAACAGTTAAGGTTAAGTATACTCAAAAACACTATAACACGTAATGAAGATGATAAACAACGTCAGTAACAGTACTTTTATAAGTATCGTTCATACACGAAAGATCATTTCTGGTATTTAGGGTTCGTGTTAATCAGTCTTTACTTAATGTTTGTCTATTCTCCGTTTCAGTTTTTGCCATTGCGTTGTCAGTTTTTCTTGACTTAATCTTCATCATTATATTAATGAGTCCAAAAAACAGTTAAAACTTGAGACAAGATATGTGTGAGATGTCACAAAATCGCCCGTGGTCAATTCTAAACTTGATTGAAACATTGTAAAGAGTTTAACCTGCAAATAAAAAGAGAATTTTGTCAATAGTGCTGCTTAAGATACTGATGCAACAACAAGAAATATATGGTTTGAATTAATTTAAGGAAATTTTCAGTTTTTAAAACTTCCGAAAAGGGGAAATTTTCTTTATCTCAACCGAAAGAGACAATCGTAGAATATAAGAAACCCACTAGTCTTGTACAGAGTGTTAATATACTTTATGAATTATTAAAGTTGAAGTATATTTTAAAGGGACCCCTCTTCAACTCATCAGTTTAAAATATGTCAGTTCAAAGCTTTTTTCTTATTTAGGAAGCTATTTTCATCCCTACATGTAAACTAGATATGTTTATTTATCACATAAAAGCAGGTTGGAATCATTGCATTCTTCCAGTTCAGCGCAGTATACTAATGATTGATTTAATGAATCTGTATATCTTTAATGAGTATATTTAGATCAGTACATTTAGTACATTTACCTTACGTATACAAATTTATCAAATCTACATTTTTAAGGTACACGTAGTGGGTTAGAAAGGGCCCATAATGGCCCCCTTTTCTGCCTTAAAGATCAAGAAAAGATTTATTGACGATTATAATAATAAATCATACCTGCAGCAAGGAATAAATAATTAATTAGTCTCTTTGTGAAGAACATACGAATTTGCATTCTTTACAAGACGTCATAAATTGCAAAACTATTGATGTTTCTCTAATCTCAATGAAAACATGTCAATTATTACGCAATTACACGTCGACAAACAGGTTCTTTTGACATTATGTTTTTTTTTTAATCAAATTCCATTTCTGAACTGCATACTTGGTGCATCCAACACTGCACTCTTTGTAATTTTGTTATACGGACGAAAAGCTAAACTTTGTTCTAATGTTATAAAAATATGACGGTATACAGTTTAGAGCATCAAAAACAATAAACCTTTGTTTACGTATTATGGTCTTCAGGTTTGTCAATACGAGGGAACAGTTTTTGGTGACAAAAAGCTGTTATACACTTATATTTTATTTTTTAAAACGAAAGTGTATCATCCTAGTCATTATTATGTAAATCACTAATTAGTATATGATCCAGTTTGTATAATGATTGATATCTACCATGTCTACCATTGTTTTTCAATATATGTTAAATATTATCAAGTGTTGAATTACAATAATTCGTTGACTGTCGTGAGGTTTATGATTGGTCTTTTATTAACAGTAGTCGTGATATCAAAAGAAGAGAATTGATATGCATTCACTTGTCTTATGATCTTGTCATTTAGAGCTTTGGGATATGATGTAGCCTACAATTGTCTAATCCAAGACAAATCACAAGTTTGACTGTAATTTTTAAATTGTCTATGTGATTGACCTGGTTGTTTTTGGACGATTTCAAGTGGTTTGAATTCTATGATTTTAACATTGCTTTTTTTTATTTTTCTCATTGTTGTTAAATCAAACTTTTGAATTTCTGAGGTCTGCGGGAGCGGTTGAGATGTTTTCGAGTTAGGTTGAAAAAAAAAACAAAAAAAACAAATGTATTGAATACAACATAATGAATCACATTATGTATGTGAAGTTAGTAATATAAATCCAATTAACTAGATATGAAAAAAAAGGTTGCAATAATTCATTGATAAATGACTTGGTACAAACAAATTTCCTGCTCTTAACTGACATGTTTCAGTGTCAATGAACATGTACAGACCTTCGTTTCGGACGCTCTATTTTGTAGAATTTACTTTTTGGATTCAAAGTTAATTTGTTGTTGTCTTGAATTTGCATGCTATATTTGCAACTATGCGTTAAGTAAACAGTCAAACAATCTTATTCCGAACCTGTGTAGAAACTTAGAAAGAGAGAATTTGTCGACCAACTTTTAACAGCCAAACAGAAAACATTGACTACTTAGCTTAAAAACAAACAGAAAAACCATGACATCTTGTAAAAATATATCAATATTCCTAATAATAGTGCAGTAGTGTATGTTCTAAGTTAACCAAAATTAAAAATAAAAATAAGACTATAAATTGTATGCCTTTGTTGCACGTTCGTAGCGCTTTTCTGGATTTACATATATCAGGAACACTAAAAGTAGCATTTTAGTCAATCTTAGCAACAAAATGAAATGCTTTTACATTGGCATTAATAGTTTAGTGGCAATTAGATCGACTTTTCATCATATTGCAAAGGAAATACCTGAATTGGCAATTAATGTGTCTTATTAAACTTCCGTTTATAGCGATTCGAATAACAAGTGAATATTCTTGTTGTTTAAAATATGTTCCTAACATTTTAAGATGATACATTTCTTATGAGTTTAAAAAACAGTTTTCGTAGCCTTTAATATTCTTATCTTCTCATACATTTCATTAATAAAAAACGACCCATAATTTCCGGCTTATTATTTATTTATTGAATTCATTGAATCATAAACAAAACAACGCTCATCAACACATCCCCATTATCCATGTTATCTATACGTATACTACATCATCGATTCAACCCAAATAGTTACTAATGAAACTATCATAATTCTCAACCACTGTAGCAGAAGAATTCAAAAGTAAACAGCAACCACTGTGCACATCAAAGATTTGTTAGTAATGTAAACAATGGTATACAGACTTACCTAAAGCTTAATTGTAAATTAGCAAAGTTGATGTCTGTTTGAAATGACCCCTTTATAACTCATCAGTTTATAACCGGTCACTTCAAAGCATATTACAGTAACTATGTAAATATGTCTTGTTAACATGAAGGCTGTTTCAGCCCTGATTTAATCAGACATCTTGTTATATTAATGATAATAAAACAAAATCAAGTTGGGTTCAGTGTATTCGTTAAGCTCAACTCAGAACTTCAAAGTCTAATAATGAAAAGAAATTCCCAGTTTTTAAAAACCTAGGTGTGTTTTTAATTAGCATATTTCAAAAAGTAAATCTTATTTTGGTTGATAAAATTTGGATTCTGTATACATACTGATCATATTTCCATCAATTGTGGTAAAATTATTTAAAGTCAACAATATCAAATTGACCGATACTGTCATTTGTTATTTTACCATCATCTGAACACAGTCTGACACAAATAAGAGTAAATCAAGTTAAGAGCTTAAATTAATTTTACATATATGTTCTCTACCCCCATATGGAGTATATTGACCCCATATATATCTTTTTTGTTCACTAGCACAATGTGTAATAAATAACACAAATAACTAAACAGTCTGAACGAAGACAAATCCGATCTTAATTGACTGCAATCCATATGTCTAAATAGTGTTGAATTAACCTCAGTGTATAAGTTTGAACAGTTTAAGTTAAAGACTAGTTAACAAGTGCACAGTTTATAATTGTTATCATTTAAGTAAATGCAAGTAGGAAGTTTTATTCATAAATGTTATCGATGAATTATGATAACATGTCAATAATGTTCAGTAAATGTCATGAAATGGTCAACAGTTGTTTCTTTTCAAAGGGCCAGACTTACAATGCAGAGAGCAAGATGAATGTTTTTAATGACAGGAATGTCACCTGGCTTTAAACAAACATGTGAAATAATACATTTGCTTTGTTACTTCAAGATTCAAACAGCAACGCTTTCGAGGGTTTATTTAATGACAAGTAGGATAGTTAAATACTAAACGTAAATGTACACATAAGTCCATATTTTCTAGTGGGTAGTCCTACAAAACTCCTGATACACCATTATTTCGTGTTAAATTTGGTATTTTCGTAATTTGTCATTGTTTTGAACATGCATGAAATATTTTCCACAAAATTCAGCAACAAGCAATATGTGTCTCAAAATAATTGTATAGATGATGAAAATAAACCTAACTCCCATTTCCATTGATAAGACAATACAATACAGAACACAATACAAAAACAAACAACTAAAATCAACAAATAACAAAACACACTCAATCATACACAAACAAAACAAATAGAATACTTTTAAAACAATACACACAAACAAATGTAATCGATTCATGTATTTCTCACAGGATCATCGTCGAAAAATGTTTCATATGTACAAAAATTCCTTTATATTTGACTGAAAAAAATCAGGAATATGATTTGCTGGCCGTTCTGTTGGTTGCTTAGTCAGAGAATTACTATATATTAAGAGGAACTTCAACAGACCGGCTTAAAATATGTAAAGTGCTATGCCGCGGAATCGTTAAATACCCGTTACTTAACTTAACATCTCATATTAATGCATGGGTTCAATTAAATTTTTAAACGGGATAAATAGAATGATGACCAGTACGCGTTAGCATTTTATTTTGAGTGTTTTCCATTCATTACCTATTTTTTTTAAATCCGATTTAGATACTGTTTTGAAAGGATGTGGAACTATTAATGGGGCATTTCTATGAATGTCCTAAAAACTTTTCTTGGTCGTCCTTAATAATTTCTCGGTTGGTAGCTGTTTTGTATAATTTAGTTTTGAATCTTAGAGGATACATGAATGATTCACTTTTGTTTGAACAGAATAATATTAGGCAAATTGTATAACGCAAAAGTTGAATTTACTTTAATTCCGTAAACGCTTTATTGTCAAACGACTGCCTTTTGCTGTTATAAAAATGTTGTTTCAAAATTTGACAAAAACTGACTAACGGATTCCTGCAGGTGACGTGAGTATTGGTTTACTTTTTAGCAGTAACATATAGACTTTATAAAATTAGAAACCTAGAACATATAAGTAAGTCAATGTGACTTCAAGATTAATTAATTTGTCATTGCAAAGTAAAAATATAGATTAAAATATAAATACCTGTTTAATTGAATTCTTGTAAGTGCTCCTTTTTATAAGATTAATACTGGTATATGCATCCATGAAAAATAACTTTAATACTTTAAATCGTCTATTACATTTCTGATTTTAGTAACTACGCAAGCTTTATAATAAATAAAAAAACCCTATTATTGCAATTACTAGACTCAAAACAATGAATTGTATTTGAAACTAATGAAGGCTTGAACATAGCCCTTCGTGCACAAGCCAATTAA